AGCGGCGGCGGGGCGCCGCGCCATGGCCGCTGCCGGCTGCTCCTTGCTGTCGCCTCACCTCCTCCCGCGCCAGGCGCTCTCCGTGGACTGCTACTCGCCCCCCGGCGCCGCCCTCCGCGCGCGCCACGGCGCCCACGCGCTCGCCGCCGGCAGCAGGGACTCCCTGGAGCCCTTCGCGGCGTCCGGCTCGCGCCGCGGCTCCCAGGTGAGCGCGCGGCCGCGCCGCCTAGCGGCCCACCAATTCACTCGCCATGAATTTGACCCATATGTAATTGGGGACCGACATACAGAAGGGCGTATGTGAACTGGGGATCCACCCCTTTCTGGGCACATGGATTGACTACCTCATGTCCTGCCGGGTAAAAGCTGAATGTGACACTATTTTTGATGATGATGAAAGTTCTGATTCTGAGGTTATATAATTAAATATTTGAAGGTTAAACAATTGAATGAGTCATTTTTTAATTTTAATTTTTTTTTATTTCCAAAAATCTCGAAAAACTTTTTCCCTCTCTGGTACCACTGTGCGCCGTCGACAACAGTTCCCGCGAATCCCCACTCGTTTCCATCTTCCCTCTTCCCGTAAAAGGACCTTTCCCCTCCCCTCTGCTTCCCATCCCACCCCACCTCGCCAAAACCCGAACCCGCACGGTAAAGAGCAGGGCAGGATTTAGGTACTGCGGGTCCACCAAGCACAAAATCGTACGCTGTTGGGGAAAAAGACACCATCAATCGTAACTCAGAACTTTTTAGTAGAGTATTTGATTAATATAATTATTAGATAAATATTAGAGATGCAAACATTTTCTGGAATATTGCATGTCTTTTCTCGAGGCGCTCTCGCTCTACAGTTAAATAGCGGTTTAGTTTCAATATGCGCACATTTTGTTGAGCTCCTCTTTTGTTAGTTATAGTTGAACTGGAGCCGGGGGTTGTGGATTGCTATTTTGTTAGCAATATAATGTAATAAATCCAGTAGTTCGTTTAAGGATGCAAACAAATGTTACTCGGGTGTTATTAGGGGACATTTTATAGTTTTCAAACATTTCTAACCACATTCTGTTTGTAGTTTTATTCAACTACGTATATAGTAATGTAATGTAATAGTAGAAGGGTGGAGTAGAAATTGTGGAGCTCAAGGGATAGTGTGCAGATTAAGCTCTAAGTCTCGAATTTAATGCCATCTTTTGACGAAGTAAATGAAATGAAAGTGCTTATTTTGCTTGCGGAAGTGGGCAGGAGGCCTGCGTCGTCGATAGCGCTGCGTGCGTTTGCTGCCGGCAGGCGTCCATGGCCTTGGACCTGCACCTGCCCAACGACTGCCCCGTGACGTTGCACGTGCGGGACCAGACGCCGCGGCGCTCCGAGACGGCGCGTCGACATCAGCTCCTGCGCCAGCGTCCGGTGAGTCACCCCGCCCCCCCCCCGCCCGCCCCATCTCCCGCTCCCACGTCCCGCGGCGCCCTCGCTTTCTCCATCACTTCACCCCCCAGAGGGGTTGGTGTGCAATCCTTCACCACGTAAGGTACGAGTTCCAACGGTTGTGGATTTCCGATTAATTATTTCATGTTTCCGGGCATGTCAACGACGACGACGACGACGACGACGAATCCCGTAAGTGTGGTTCATGTTTTAACATGGGAGGTGGCTGTAATCTTCCCCCGCTGGATGGCAAAATCCGTCGCCATCCTTCCTGTCGGTTTGCCACGTAACAGGGCCTCAGCCCGAGCTGGGACTACCTCTAAGCACCCCACTGGCCTCTCGATGTGGGTGAGTATACGATAAGGAAGAGGAAGGAAGATGGCCCGCTCCGGCGTTCGCCTGGTGTCGATCAGAGAAATCACTGAAAACTACCCATCAGTGCAGCCAGCCGTTAGAATTCACCTCCAGACAGCGACTGAATTCGACCTAGCGATCTAGCTGCTGTCGAAAATCCTCCTAGCGTGGGGACTCGAATCCACAGGTGGTCAGAGGCACTGCGGTGATTTCAGTTGATGCCCTGAGCCACCTCAGTCGGTGTGGATTTTCGATATTAGGTAAACAGCAGGTTCGAATTCAACCATTGTCTAGAGGCTGGCTGCTTGGATCGGTATCCTTATAAAAGGCTGGTGCTGTTTAATTTCAAAGCTATTTTCTGACTGCTAATTTTGTTGGTGAAAGTGCACTGGGTTCGAAAGACTTGTGAATTTGAGTGTTCTCTGCAAGGGCCGGGCGCGGAGCGGCAAGCGACCCACCGGTCAGCGGCCGCGGCGGTGCATTGGCCGCATTGCGTCATCCTCATGAGATCGGCCTACCGAGCGAAGTGGCTCAGTGCGTAGCGCGCTGAGTTCGCAATCGGGAGGTCCGGCTTCGATTCCCGCGCCGGCCATCCTGGCAGGGCTTTTCGTGGTTTCCCTCGGTCATAAGGCGAATGCTGGGATGGTTCCAAAAGTCCTCTATCACCTTTCACCAATATCCTATCACCTCCTAATATAATAATAATAATAATAATAATAATAATAATAATAATAATAATAATAATAATTCACAGGGCGGACATAGTTGCTCCGTCCGTGGTCTACCACACGTGTCCCCTGGGTAACGCTAATGAGCAATGCATGCGGAGCAAAAGAAAAAGAAAAAAATGCACATGCACGTGCGCGGTGAGCGGCTTCGCGCGTCCCGTGCTCCGCTCTTCACTCTCCCCGATTGCAGCTGGGGAAGAGGGCGGGCCGAAGATCGCTGTGTAAGAAGACACAATAGCAATTTATTAACGTGAATATGTCTTGTTACTGTAAAGACTTCAGTTGACAGCCATACTTTTGAAGGCGCCGGCGAATATCAGACGCCACAGGTACTCGAGACGTCGAGGCGACACGCTCCGTAAACCAGATAAGAACACCACAATATAGTCCTAGCGCAGTTAACAAGGCACGCCAACTTTTGCACCTGTCACCGCCGCCACGTCTCAATCACCCGAGCGTCACAGTTACGTTTTCATTGATCTCTCATCGATCGCTTCTTCTTTGAGAAATAATGAACTTTCTCGCCAACAAAGTAAATGACAATTTAATTTCAAAACTTTGACATTTCAGAATTTACTTCTTAAATACTTAAAAGTTGTTACTGCTAATGTTCTAAGAATAACATGCATACATTTGCATAGGCCTTGTATGCGCACCGCGCGTCCGTGTCGTGCGAGCGCGTGCAGACGCGG